TGTGCCAAGTTTCGTTTTCATAGGATTGTTTTTACGCTCCCGCTGTTTTCGTAAAGAAGCGTGAAATTCTGAACATTTTAAGCCGCGAAAACTGCCATTATATGCAAATTTCGAACTTTCTTAAATTTTGGCCGTAAAATAAATCGTTGGAACTTTAAACTATTTTACCATGAATAAGTTAACCCAAAGGTTTGTTTTGGCGAAATAAAAGAAAAATCGATTTTTCGTGACTGTCTTCCGATTCTCGACACTCTCAGAAAATCATTCTTAAGGACTTGGCAATCACCTGCAGGAAGTATCGAAAGAATAAAACGGTTCATGTTCAAGTCAAGAAACATAACAGAAAATGAACAAGGCGATATAAGTTGGGTTATAGATTAAACATGCAACATACTGAAAATAGACAACAAGTCAAATGAATTATAATAATTTTTGATGATATGCATCTCTTACGATCAACACAACTGAAGTGGTCGTGTTTTCATCTGAACGCAGTACTGGAAATAAAAAGACTTTTAAAATTTGAATTCTGGTTAAGTCAGAAAGGAGTTCTGCCAAAGTACAACTTAAAAGATTCGTTTCATTCGATCAAATTTAGTGAGTTTATATTTCCGATTCGTCTCAAGAACTTAAGCTTCCTGTTACTTTCTTTTAGCATTTTAAAATAGCGCACATAGTCTGCAAAGACGTCTGCCTGCTTTACCATGTAAAAATGCCATTTTTGCGTTCGCGAGAGCGAAGTTCTAATCGAGTAATGCGGCAAAATTCGAGTTTCCGTGTATGTATCTTTCTGTGGACACCAATTTGGCTCCCCTGAAAAAAATTCTTCAGGGGCGAATGACATCATCTCCATGTTCGTCCATGTGCTTTCTTGATCTGTTGTGCAATATTGCGGACTTTCGAGTGTCGAGGCAGCTTATTATGGACTGTAGCGGATAAGTTGTTTATTTAAAGTGTGACGTCAGTGTTAATGGCATTTAAAAACTTTTGCAGACATGCCTTCACGAAATGTGTGCGACTTCTCGTACGAACAGAAAGCTGTAGTTTGGCTGCGTGTTGTGTACCCTCTTTTCTTCGACCAAAACCAACGCTACTTTCTGCTGAATAAATTAAAGAGGGAATTGTGTAGTTTCATTTCACTGGCCTAGATTTCTGTGCGCAGATTATGTAACATAAACCCAACGAAAGTGTTTACATAGGAAAAGAGTTCAACTCCCACAGGATTGCTTTGGTACACCAACATGTCCTCCGTTTCAGTGTTCCGGAAGTGAAAATGCCCTGTAGCTGTTTCCCCAAAGCCAAGGCGATTCAAAGTCACGTGCGTAAACATAATAATTGTTCTAGTTTTGGTGATAAAAGCACGTCGTCTCGTACACCGACGGAATAGGCATCGTTTGTGCCGATTTACATGGTCAGTATATAAAATATGGACTGCGGACTGCGGACTACGGACTGGGCATTTGGTATAAAACGCGGGCTAAGCATCTACGGACTGGGTATAGAACACGGTCTGCGAACTAAATGCGGCCTACCAACTGCAGTCCATGTTTTGCACTGACCGGTCGTAACTAGTATTACATAATACATGTATAAACGAGAACAAACCCTCTCGTATGCACGTGCTTTGCGATCAATTTATTTGTTTTCGCTCCTGCTGGAAGGAAGCCAATTTCACGCCTACCTAACAGCTCAGGCACAAAATGCTCTTCCTAGAATTTTTGGTTTTTTAACATACCAAACCTACCAATACCCGAACGCACTCACTACTAGTTACACAAACACCAGTGAAATACCAGGTGAACTTTCGCGCGAAAACATATCTTAACACGTGAAAATCACCATTGCTATAGTTACACAATAAATCCCTTAAACTTTACTTAAATGTGTTGCTCTATGATCGAAACATCTTGGGATCTCCCTCGAAAATCTTCGGTAATCTTCGGAAATTTTCGGAAATTTTCGGAAACGTTTGTCTGGCTTTCGGACAACTTTTCGGAAAGAGTTCGGAAACCTTCGGAAATCGTCTAAAAAGTCGTCATTAGTATGTTTATATAATTAACAAATAGATTCCGTGTTGCCGTGCGTCGGTTCAGTAATAGATCACAGATGACCTCAGAATGTGGTAAGAACAAAAAAGTGGCACACGAGGGGATAGCCCACTGTGTCACTGATGTTCTTACCACATTTTGACGTCTTCTGTGATCTATTAGTAAACAAACGCACGGTAACATGGAATCTGTTTGTTTTATATAATAACGAAACAAACTACTACGGATAAAGATTTTTTAATTCAAAATCTTTCAACATAACTCGAAAGCCGGCCTTTGCCCACTTTGGCGAACACGAAAAAAGCCATTTGACGTAATCTATTGTCTATACAAAATGAAGCAGTCTCATTGGTTGCTATGCGTAGCAAAGAATTGTGATTGGTCTAGGAAAATCGCGCCACTGTCAAACTTGACTCGAGCGTCGCTTCTCGTGGAATGAAGACTTACAGTGAAAGCAGAATTGAGCTGCGAAATCTACAAACCTTAAAGAAAATGCTGGAAAAGTCAAGTCAGTTTTTGTCATCAGAACAGCCCTGTGAGCCAAAAAGCTTGGACGTTGCCTTGAATATTGCAGGAGTTGAAAAATACGTTCGGAAAACTTGCGGTGACGGTCAATCTGGAGGCCATTCAATTCGAGTTTTGAATGAAAGGAGCTTTAGTGACGGTGGAAATTTGTGTCCTCTGTGGTTGTGTTTTCGGCTTACCAAGACCAATTTTGTGCTTGGTTTAGTCTCGCTCGACTGCCGACTGAGACTGCTCAAGTATTTCTTCTGAGTCATTTTCTAAAAAAAAATTCGGCCTTATCGTTCTTCTTCCTCCTTCTCTTACCTGTTCAATGCCTCGACAAGACTCTTTTGTACCTTATCTTTTGCCAGGTCACGTAAAATATTATCTAAATTCTCAAAACTTTCCGGCATTTTAAAACAGAGGGAAAAACTTTGTAATGATGACGTCAATCGTACGTCTCTCCTCTAATAGATCATAGGCGAGAACCAATCAAAATGCGACAATAACTTGGGTTATTGTATAATAAACAGAATAATGCATGGCTGCTTGTAGATATGGAATTTCTCTTCGCATGTTCAACTTTGTATCTCACGAGTTGAACACTCGTAGAGAAATTCCATATCTACGCGCGCCCATACATTATTCTCTATTCATTTTGATGTAATACCGCTTCTTAATTGAAAGTTTCTTAGAAGGAATCGAAAGTGTTTACTCTTGAAACCTAAAAGGAGAGGAGCACAAGACGACAAACTAATTTGAATAGACTTCAAGCCTTATGCGAAGGGCTGAATAAATATGTCAGATGAAGAGTTTTCATTTCGTAGGAGTGAGACATGAAATTAAGTTGAGATGGAAGCCAGGCATCAAGTAAGAGGTTTTTAATTATTTTAATTCCTTAGACACCCAGGCATTATCATTTCTTCAAGACGTTTACGTTTCCAAGTTCGGAAATGACTCTGCAAGTTGCGGCTCTCGCCATGACCCATGCCAATCAATAGATCAAGCAGTTATTCATGTGAATTGGGGAGGAAGGATCCTCTTGAACGGAACAGGCACCGAACAGCATCCCTATGGCTGTGTTGGCGACAATCATCCGGGTATTACTGTAAACAAAACTTTAACAATGGCAGGCTTGTACCACACTCCTCATGTTTCTTGTGATGATGGCATTCGCTTTCGAAATTCCCATGATGAGCTGCAGATTGAATTATTACGGATAGTATTTCGGCAAACACCTCTGACATTTGACGATTGCCTTCATGTGAAGGTATCCAACTGCACTTTCCAAAACGCATCAACGGCTTTTGACATGCAAATTCAAAAAAGGAGAAGTTGTCAGATTGATATTCAAAGCTCGATGTTCTTTTATAATAGCCCATTCTGCATTAAACTCCTGTTACTAAGTAAAAATACAAGCCAGAGTCTTGATGTCGCGATGAGAGTCTTCGACACCAAATTTGTGGAAAACGGAGTACTTGACAGACAGCCAATTGATGGAGGAGTGGTGGTGATAACATCTAAAGGCGAAACGGTTTCCAACGACACGCATATTCATACCTTCTTCGAGAAAGTCTCTTGCAAGAGGAATCGTGGCCCTTTCATAACTCTCAATGTATCAAAAGCAGTCACGGATGAGATGTACAAAGACGTTTATCTCAAACACAATACGATGCCTTCCTCAGGCAAAATGTCAGACTTCCTCGTCGTAAACAGCTTGTATCGCTCAGTTACTAAAGAAACGCATGCAAAGTTCATCAGCTTTCAATGTGTGCAAAACGCTATGCTCCGATGCATTGGAATTCAGTCTGACAAAGCTGATGTCGACATTCGAGAATCTACCTTCGTCGGACATAATTTGACGAGAGAAGCAGGTGCTTCCTTACGTCTAGAGGTAAAACTTAATGCTTCGTTGAAAGTTTTGAACACCAATTTCACCAACAACAAGGCAAGCGAGGGTGGTGCTGTATTTGCCAATAGTCCCCATGGAACTTTAAATATAAACTTCAGCTACTCCAATTTTACAGGGTGCAGCGCAATCAAGAGCGGTCGTGGGTGCGCAATATCAGTTGGAAAACCCCCTAAGCATGGCAACTCGTCCTGTCCATCCAAGTTGAATTTTACAATGCGCAAAGTAATATTTAGCAACTGTCACGGTCATTTTCACAGATGCGTTACTGTCTTCATTCGATTTAATAGTGGAAAAGTGGAAATAAAGGAGTCTAAGTGGGTGAACAATTTGCGTAAGACGAGTGGCGCCCTGCATGTATTTTCCGAAACTGCAGAAAGTGAGGCAAATGTAACTATTTCAAGATCGTCCTTTACAGATAATGTGGGAAGCACTATATCAATATCAGCTACAAATGCAAACGTGGGAAACGCAACTCTTGTGGACAATTTGATTGCTAACTATAAAAATAAGCAAAAAGCCGCCTTGACGATTAATCCTCACTATCAAATTAAAATAGAGAACATTACAGTGACCAATTTTCGTTACGGACTAAAATCACTTGGAGGACGCTGGAGACATGAAGCTTTTCCATTTAATATCGCTGTTTTTAATTGCACTTTGATAAATAATATTTATGACATGTTATTGACTTTCCATGATCCCACGTCGATCCAGCTGATGATCAAGAACACAATTTTCACCAGCAATGAAATCAGAGAAAAAAGCTACGCAATACGTTTGCACATTCCACCATTAAGAAATGCCAATTCGTCTGATGCATTTATAGAACTGGAAAACAATACTTTTGACCGCAGACCATCGAGCAGTTTTGCTCTTTTCTTCCGAGGTAATAAAACCTTGTCGATTCGGCGTTCGATATTTAGAAATTGCATTTGTTTTTACCGAGAAAAGTGGTCATTGTCTGCCAACGGATCTTTCTACGAGACAGCTACCGGCGCGCTATCAATTCTAACCAACCCTGATAAATTACTGCAATCAGGCTGTGTTCGCCCTGACGTCAAAAAGAACATCCATCCTTTGTGGACGTACCGCAGTCATGTTCTTATCGAGGATACTATATTTCAGGAGAACGCAGGATTGGTCGCCGGTGGCGTATACATCAGTAACGGTTACACAAAGTTTGAAAGATGCGCTTTTCAAGATAATTTCGGCATTGAACAAACTGGTCATGTCTACTCCGCATATGGAACTGGTCAATTTCATTTCAAAGATTGTTCATTCTCCACGACAAAACCAAATGTGACGATATTGCACAATACTACTTTTAATAAAGCCACCTTCTTGTATTCCGAAAGTGGAGGGCCCATGAAATTTCAAAATACATCGATGCGTTTCATTGCCACTAAAAGGGGTTCGTATCCTGTATTTGATATTTCCAGTGGGGGATATGTTGAAGTGGATGACAATACAACTATTCAATGCAGTAAAGGAAGTCAACTTTTGCTTGAAAATACAACACACTTCTCGCTTGCTGAGGAGGGACAGAAGAACAATTTTTGCAAGATTAATGTTACGAGTTTGAAATTTTCATGCAAGTCGTGCTCTCCAGGTTACTACAGCCTCCAAAGAGGGAGCATGCGTGGTTTAACTCTTAATGGCTCCGTTCAGTGTTTACCATGTCCATTTGGAGCCACTTGCATTCATAGTAACATAGCTGCAAAACCAAATTTCTGGGGCCAACAGACTTCGGAACACCCACAGTCACTTCATTTTATTGCCTGTCCCGACGATTATTGTCAAAGTCCAACCTCTGGTTCCAAAGACTATAACAGTTGTCAGGGGAAACGAACTGGTATCCTCTGCGGAGCCTGTGCTCCGGGTTATAGTGAGTCCCTGCTTTCTACTGAATGCCTTCCACCCGATAAGTGCAGCGATAAGTGGTTGTGGATCTTAACGTTTTTCGCAATAACTGGATTTGCTATTTATCTTTTAACCAAACCACCAGTCCTGAAATTTCTTGGAAGGCAAATATTATGGTGTAAAAGAAAAGATCAGCATCAAGTCGGCCAGGACTTGGGTCAAGTTGAAGAACACTTTGACAGCGGCTATCTTAAGATTGCGTTCTATTTCTATCAAGTTGCAGAGTTATTGACAGTTGGCTCAACAGACGACTTGGTCCATAAAATACCGTTTATTCCTGCCATGGTAGCAAGTTTTAATTTTCGAATTCATGCGTTCAAAGAAAGAATGAGATGTCCTTTTGCTGGGCTTACAGTAGTTACAAAAGAGTTGTTGCTGTCTGGAACAGTTTTTGCCACAATGGCCGATGTTGTAATAATCTACTTCATGCATTTGTGTTTCAACATCGCAAGGAATAAAGCAATACCGTCTCCAGAACGTTACATAGCTGTAATCATCGAAGTAATGTTGTTTGGATATGAGCGATTGGTAGAAACATCGTTTAAGCTCATGGATTGCGTTCCTATTGGCCCTGAAGAGAAGCGTCTTTTCTTCGATGGAAACGTTATATGCTGGCAATGGTGGCAATACACACTATTGGCTTATACCGCAGTTTTCGTGGTCCCCTTTATTTTCGTCCTATATTTTGGCTCTTCTAAGGTTTACAGAGCATCGATTTCGGCGACAGAGTTTCTCTGTGCTTGCATTTTACCGTTGCCATTTTTAATTTACTGGTTAATAAAAGGTGTGCTGATAAACAGAGAGCAACGTGGTACAACAATCGCAAGTGTGCAGCTTGTGAACCAGCACGTGCTTGAAGTACTAATCGGTCCATTTCGTCCACCAAACGGTGAAGATAAAGGAACTCTATACTGGGAGAGCATCTTAATTGGCCGACGTTTCATTTTTCTTGCATGCCACGCGTTATTTGACGATGCAATGTTGTGCAGGGTTGTGATGACGTTTGCTTGCGTCCTCATGCTACTCCACCACGTCTGGAAGAATCCATACCGCGATCCAATCGCCAACGGTACTGAAACAGTTTCTCTTCTGCTTTTAGTGATGATCGCATTAATCAATCTAACAAAGGCAACTCTCGTTTCGTTTGGGACAACCCCAGAAGGACCGAGCAAGTCTTACATACATGCTATGGACTGGGTTCAGATCTTGGCCTTGACATTTCTTCCAATGTTGCTTTCCCTTTGTGTGGTTTTAGCCATTTTGTCTCAGCTATTTCGATTAATGGTGTTATTGGCAATACATACTCGTTGCTGTCTACAGATGGCTTGTACATCCTTGTGGACAACAGAAGAACTGAGGCCACTAATAGTTAGACGTTAAAAGCAGTGGCGCCGCACCAAATAATTATTTGTAGTGAACAAAGTTAGCTTAAGGTTGAAGGAATCCTCGAAGCAATAGTTACTTAAGTGGATAACCGCCGAAGAGGTATCACAGCGTTAAGGAAAAAAGGGAAACGAGCATGGCTGAACTCTAGAATGACAAGGATAAGCTAGACTACCCGTAACGTATGGAGCACTGTGTTTCAGGTCGCGAACTCAAGCTAGACGTTGGAGTTGCCTCAGTTAGTCTCTTGGATGGCCTGACAAAAAAGGCTCTCAAAGAGATCTTTCCATGTCATTTTCTATCTTAAAGTAATAAAAAACTAAGAAGGATAAATGAGTATGGAAATAAACGCATGAAATATTGGCACTGTCTGTTTTTATGACAACGAATACTGAGTACTAGTTTGGCAAATGCTAGAACTCCAGCTGAAGATGTATTATCAAATCAATTTACTAAATCTGCAGTTATACCTGAACAACCCAAGATAAACAGCACTAAAAATTTACACCCGCAGCCAGTAAAAATCAAAATGAAAAAAAAAAAAAAAAAAAAAGAGAGAGATTTACATAGATTGTTAATGGAGGCAACTTCTACTTTGTTTGGCACTGGGCTCGATGGACTGTTTTGTAAAAAGCTAATCACTGGGTGGAGTGATTTTTTTAAACGAGTTTTTTTCTGTTTTCTCAGTGCTTTCGATTGACATTATTTATTGTTCTCGTTGCAGCGGTTATCAATCACACGCGGTTATCAATCACTCGCGACCTTATATTTAATGCCGATGTATTGAGTGAGCAAGCCGTACATACCGAAAGTAAAATGATAATTTTTACGAGTGGACCGCTGCAAGGTTTCAGACTTTTTTTGTGGTAAATTTTGCATACAGTCGGCAAGGAAACGGAGATGATTGACGTCCACCAAAACTCAGGTTTTGTCAAGACGTTTTTACGCTGAAGGTCGCGTGTGATTGATAACCGCTGTAAATGACTAAATTTGAAAAGCTTAAGCAATAAGAGATTAGCATAAAAATGAAAACTCAAAACCTTCTTAAGAATTAACGACCAATCATTGCGATATATAAGAACTCACGCTGACGAGGACCAAGTAGAAATCAGGGGGAGTTGTTTTTACTCGACAGCACATGGTTCTGTAATTAGTGATAGTAACTGGACACAGGTGGAGTACAATCCAGGGAACAATCTGGCTAGTGATTTCAAAATCAGACAAGCGAGCAGCGCGAGGCTGACTTGACTGACACGAGGTTCAATAATCACTAATTAATCGTATCCTTGACAAATCTCGAAATTAAAAGAGTCTTCTGAGAACTTCTTTTGAGCGAAAAGAAAGTCAGTAGCGATTTCCATAGGTGTTAAAAAACTGGATAAAACATCGAGAAGGAATCCATTGAAACGGACGTAATTGACGTGCGAATGGCGTAGGTATCCAATTACAGGTATCCAATTGCAAAAATTTGTAAATGGATGCCTGTAATTGGACACCCACGGATCACGAGCCGATTACGTGAGAAATACACACAGAGAACCAAACACGATCGAGAATTTTTTTTATGGCTACGGTTATATTCAATTGCAGTTTTCGCAGGAATATACGCTTAAGGTGGTGGGGCTTTGTTTGCCTATTGGAAAAGTAGAACATAAACTCTAAACATTTCCGAGGTTAACTTTACAGGTAGTAAAATAAAGTTCTCTATTTCTAGCTGCATATTTGTTCGCTACATTGGGTATAAAAAGGCGTTCATAGATTTGTCTCCCGATTCCTACAAAAGTGCTATGCTTTTATAATTTCATTGGAATTCATGATAATATGGAAAAACCTTCCAGTGGACGATTTGCCAGTGATCAAGGAAACTACTAATAAATAGATACACAATAAATAAAGATTAAGTTCAAGCTTTAATCACCAAAAACAAAATAGAGACTGAAGAGATTAAAAATAATTTATGAAACGCAGAGCCATAGTGACCATAGTGTGCCGTAATTGGGTAAAATATCTCGTTAAGATGACTTAAGAGAAAAACCGAAATTTTTCATGTAGAACACACTTGGCGTTTTCTTAAAAGGCCATTAAAACGTTCTAATTGACTCACCCTTACAACATGCGAGGAAAAAATCGCTCACGATTTGCTAAATTCAGTTACTAATCGGCAGATTTGTATAGCAGCATATTGCAATCAATGGTTTTCAGAACGTATTATCTGATTGACTTAATAGCGAGCATAGTGTGTTATTGTATCACTCATGCCTAAATAACGCATTTCAAGACACGAACTAAGTTCAGATCATTTCGGTTTCAAACCGTCAGCAACATGACAGCTAGACAGCTTGCGAGTGGTCCAGTACACTGTCCTGGTTTCGAACCTGTTGTTCAACTCCATCCGTTTCGTAACATCGACAGAAGATTTGCGGACATGTTTACATAGTGCAGTATCACTAAATCAATCGTTAACATGGATATTCTTCGTCTTGCTGTGGCGACTCTGGTCTTGGCCTTACTACGTATTTGTGCAGGTAATTGAGTGAGAAATTTATAATGAAATGTTTATGAACATGCTAATTTGATGGAAGAGCTATGTCATTACCCTTTCAAACGATATCCCAGCTTAAGGTAATTTTCTTTCTAGCTCAGAGGTTGTCGCCGAATCGGTTGCATTAAATTTAGAATTCGTAGCAAAGACCATTTCATTACTATAAAGATGATGACCTCCTATTAACATGTTTAGATGAAATATATGCTTATCAACAAATATAGATATGTTTAGCGATAAATATTNCTTAAGACGGGAATACATCTAAATCAGATGAATGACTGACGCATCCTCAATAAACTATTCGCATTGAATATCTCGCGTTAATGAGGTCAGAATAGACAATTCTGTGTCAATGTCGAATGAATCGTGAAGTTCAGTGACTAATTTTTGCTGAGGCGTTTTGATCTTCCTTTATCAAATCCTCTAGTAAAACTAAAAGGGAATTTAATTGAATTAAAAGCGTTTCATCACTTTCATTTTAGGTGCTCAGTACCTTAATTTAACTGCTGTCTTTGTGTCCCTGAACGGAAAGGATTCCCAGAGCTGTGGTACAGATATACAACCATGTAGGTCCATTGCTAAAGCAATCCGTCAGGTGGCCTGGGGAGGACTCATTTACCTCGATGGCACTGGGACCGAGTGGAAACCTTATCGATGTAGCCTTGAAATGGCGCATGAGCAACATCCGGGAACTGTTATCCAGAAAAGTTTGAGAATGGAGGGTTGGAGAGCCTTGCCACATATATCATGCTTCAAAGGTTTTCATTTTATAAAGAAGACAACTACGAGTCGGGTACTGGCCATTGCTTTATCTAGTATTGCCTTCCGCCAAACGGCATTGATGTTTCAGGATTGTGAAACCATAACAATTACTAACTGTTCTTTTGAAGACACGGCCATTGCTTTGTATGTTCAAATAAGTAACAATGTAAGAATGCAGCTGAATATCCAGCGATCTTCTTTCGTCAAGAACAACATTTCATGCGTAGAAATTGTTTTGATTAACAATGCTCAAGACCAAGATCACTTTGTGGACGTAAATATCAGCGAGACAAAGTTTATGGAAAACGGGATGCAGAAACGGTGGTTTGCAAGAGGTGTAGTGACAATCCAGTCGCTAACCATGCAGCCAACCAGCGTGCATGTCCAAATATCTTGCTTGAACATCGCATCTGTCAATAACGTTGGCTACTTTATGAATCTTGATCTGCCATCAGCCGTGACCAGCGAGGTATATAATGATGTCAGATTGTTCAACAACACCCTTTCTGATTTGGTCAAGACATCCACTGGTAGAAAAACACAACACGTGGTGAACAGTTTGTGCAATTCTAATACAAGAAAAACGCGTGCTAAGTTCAGCAACGTAAGATGTTCTCACAACCATTTATTGCGATGTATAAAGATTCATTCTGAGGAAGCCCAAGTGGAAATTCGCAACTCGTCATTCGTTGGTCAGCGTCTTCAAAAGGAAAGAGGGGGAGCGATATTTTTTAACTCAACAGCGCGCGGGTCTATGGTCATACTCAACACAAGGTTCCGCAGGAACATAGCTAAGGGTGGTGGAGCTTTGTCTGCTCATAGTAAAAACGGAATCCTCAGTCTAAAAATTACGAATGTTAACTTCACTGAATGTACCTCAGAAGGAAATGTGACCGGATGTGCTATTTTGGTTGAAGTCAATATGGCAAAAATTACCTTCAGAGAAATCAGAATGCATAACTGCTTTGGCCTGTACGGTGAATGCAACGTTATCCAGCTTATGTTATTTGATGGGGAAGTAATTATCGAGGATTCTTCGTTGAAAAACAACACCCAATCTATAACTGGCGCTCTGATGGTAACAAATATAGGTGGCCTCGTCAACGTCACTATTTCTGGTTGCACATTTCTTCACAACTTCGTGCAAAGCAACGTTGTTACATGTTTCTCCCTTTATCCAACAGCGGGGACATTAACTATGGCGAAAAGTGTTATATCTGGTCAAGAAAAAAGTGGCATTATGTCTGATGCCATATTTGCATCTTCGGAATTTCATATTAATCTGACAAACATTGTATTAACTTCACATCGTCACGCACTCTTTATAAACGGCTCGATGCCAGATGCATATTCTGAAGTCTACCCTTTACACGTGTCAGTCTATAACTGCACCTTCCTCGAAAATATCCGTGATATGGTGGTAAATTCACCCGACCCAAGTCAGGTGGAATTAACAATTAAGAACACCATCTTCAGCAGCAGACAGATCATATCGGGATCATTTGGTATTTTTATCTATTTACCCTCGCAAATACTCACATTTTCGAATGCTGTCATAGAACTGGATAACGTAACATTTGATTCGAAACCATGCAATCGGATAAATTTGCTATTTCGAGGTCAAAAATCGTTACACGTAAAAAAATCTTCGTTTCTGAATAGTGTCTGTTTGGACCGATTCGGCCTGACTGATAATAGTCCCTACAGTGTTTCCGATATATCAGCGGGCGCTATATCAATCCTCTCAATTTCTGATGAAAAACTGAGTCCAGGATGCGTTGAACCTGGATCAAAGAGAGACATTCATCCGACCTGGCAATATGAAGCTCACGTGAGATTTGAAGATACCATATTCGAAGGCAATGGAGGATTAATCACTGGTGCTGTATACATACGTAATGCCAACACTACTTTCGAGAGATGCAATTTTCGAAATAATTTTGCTATTGATAATTCCGGACATGTTTATTCTGCATATGGAACTGGGCAAGTGGATTTCAAAGATTGCATATTCTCTTCAACAAAAGTAAACATGAAAATAAGCAATATAACACTTCACAAATCGACGTTCCTGCGGTCGGAAAGTGGAGGACCTATAAATCTGAAAAATACAACTATGGTGTCATCTGCTGCCCGAAGGAATTCCTATCCAGTTCTAGACATTTCCAATGGAGGCTACGTATACATGGACGATAGTTCGACCATTCAGTGTGCTATCGGAAGCCAACTTTTGTTGGATAATACGACACATTTTGTATATACAGAACAAAACAACAGCGTTTGCATAATAAATGTAACCGTTCTGAAGTACTCTTGCCAACTGTGTTCTCAGGGCTTTTATAGTATTCAAAAAGGAGTATCATATGGCTTGATTGTAAACGACACAGTAACTTGTCTACAATGTCCTTTTGGTGCCAGTTGTATTCAAAGGAACATAGATGCTAAGCCAAACTTTTGGGGTTATCCAATATCCAGCGACCCACCATCCCTGAGATTCATTGCTTGCCCAGAACATTACTGCCAAAAATCAACTTCAGAGATAGGTTACAACAATTGTCAGGGAAACAGAAGTGGCACTCTGTGTGGTAAATGCACTCTAGGCTACAGTGAAAGTCTCTTTTCAACAGAGTGTCGTATGAATGAGNAAAAGGTTTAGAAAATTAATGTAGGTATTGTAACTTTACAAACTGAAAGAAATATATATGTTCTGAGTGCGAATAGCGCATAACTATGAAACACACAGTAGTTTAGCGTTGATTGTTGTCCTTCAGAAGCATGTTGGATTACCTTGTGTTCTTGTTCGAGCGAGGCCTTAAATTGCTATATTTAGTCGAGTCGTTGCATCACACCTTAAACCCGTCTTACTATATATAGTTCAGCAGCGGAATATTCTCCATCCCTGATGATGCCATCCCACTTCTGACATCATGTAATAGTCCTCATGGCCAGTAACGTTTATTAAGCTTTAATCTGAGAGAATACAAGGTGGCCGAATCGCATGGTTCCACTAACCATGATCAAATGGTCTCGCAAGGCATGATGGCTTACAGATGAGCGAAAACGGAGAACAATGACAGTAGTTTAAATACAGTAGTTTAAGGCCTCACTAGAAAGAACACTAGCTTACACACTAGCTTAGTGTGTAGATTAATTAAGTGTCATTTGTCACTAGAGTTACTGGAGACTTTTACAGAAGGGTGTTTCCAAGACAAATTAGATATCAAGAAAATATTAAGCTATTCCTTCTACATAATTGTACATGTCATGTTTTTATTAAATATCTTTAAATGACGTGCAGATCGCAGGGAAAATAGAAAGTTTAAAATTGTAAAGAGAGTGAACCGGCCGATTAAATCTAAGGGAATATTTTAAAGGTGTCAGTCAGTCGTTTTTGTGCTTTTGACAGTCTTACTATCTCAACTGTAAATGATTTCAGTGACCTTATATGACCACCAGGTGACACACTGGATTGAGACAATCGTGAATGGGAAATTGGTCAAAAGAAAGACCATGATAGAGGAATCAAGGATAACACGGAGGGAAGTATAAATGGCAATATATCCGCATGTATATATATTTTTTGTAATAACGGCATTCAGGGTTTTATTCACTCTTCTCTCTGGAATTTTATAATTCGTAAATAAATATGCGACGAACAGTCAAAGCCGAGTAACGAGTTCCATGTCTTTTACCTACGTCACAGTTCTAAAAACAGCAAAACATGCAATTTATGTCGTCCTCTCGTTTGGGGAAGAAAATTGTGAAATTTAAAAACAGAGAACATTTTAGCCTTCTAGCAAGCTCAGTTGAAGGAGGGGTGGAGTGGAGGGTAGGAGCTCGAGTAGGGGTTGGAGGGTAGGAGCTCCCTCACTCCACCCTTTCTCCAATAGATCTTCCTCGCAGGATTATGGCATCACCAAAGTCCCAACGTTCATGTTGTAGTACTCATGACAGCAATGGATGTATGTTGTCTTCATTTTTGCGGCACTTTTTGATCCTTCTGTCTTGTTCTTTCAACAAGTGTTCGATTTCTACGGAAGAAAATATGAAATGTCAATCATGAATGCCAACATAGATTAAGGGTGCATGGAAGCAGAAACAAAAAAGAAAGCTAAAAGACAACAACCAAAATAAAACAAGCACAAAAAATTAAAAACTTAACTGGTGGAATACTAACAAAAAGCGCACATTGTTTTGTTTTGTTTTTTTTCCAATAAATTTAGATTATGGAAGAAGTTTTTTTGAAACTCATTTATAATTCATCAAGTTTAAACCAAGGAACATCTTGTGCTCGCCCTTTTGCGTCTTGCATATTCTATCAATTTGTTATAAAACTTCTTCTTCGCCACGGCCTAATTTTCCCATAAATGAATGCCTTCTCCTAGCTTGTTATCTTCGAATTTTCATGCATGGTCATGTAACGCTATAACCAGAGAACAATATCCTCATCTGATTATCTCATGGGACAGAACCATTCTCAACCTCATGGTTTATATTAAGAGTTGAACATGAAAATGTGCCTATGTACAAGACATGCATACCTCCGTTTTTCTTGGTGAGTTGCTGTCCAGTTTGTGCAAGAGATTGCAAGATCATCTCTGCGCGTCTGTAAGCTGGTTCGTTTGCTGATGGATTTGTCTTTATTGGCGCTGATACTAGAACGAAAGGTACATTGTCAAGAATTTAAAGGTCAGCAAAAACGACAAAACAAGAAAAAAGAATTACGAATAAAAAGAAAGCGAAAAAGATAAAAAAAAAATAGACGGGTAAGGAAGGGTGGAGTGATGTAGGCAAACAGACTATTACCGGCTCCAAAAGCTCTCCCATCTAGTTTCCTTGAAGTCAGGTCTTCTTGTTTTCTTTGACCGTGCGAATCCCGCGCAGAAGTCGTATCGCTACCTTGTTTTCTGACTTTCACGTTCTGGGGAACTGGGCGCGAGTGTTTCTTTGATGAAGACACAGTGTCAGACATTTCACTTGAACTCGGCTGACTAGTNTTATCAACAAATATAGATATGTTTAGCGATAAATATTGGGTCAAGTTGGTCAAGACGATTTTCCATTTCACATTTGCGGATATCAAGAAATAAGATAATTACAACAAAAGACCCCGTAAATTATATTATAGTGACACGGTCTAATAAACAGGTGAAATGATGGGATTTCCTGTTGTTTCATCGAAACTAGATTGAGGTGTGATTTGTTTAAGAACTTAAACTGGGCTCGCTGTAATTAAGGTGATCTTGGCTGGATTTCCGGTCGTTATTAATCTTATCGAAGTTGTAGAAAACCTTCAAACAATACCAATCGCTCTGATATCTCACCCATGATCTAATGATGAATTTTATAAGAGAAGATTATTTCGGTGTAAATTTGTCGAGGGAAATTTCAGTTTTCAGAATCAAGTAAACAGGAAATAAGAGGAAAGAAAATCATCAAATGAAATACATTGCTTTGCTAATTTTATCTTCCAACATGAACCCACCCAAACGGAGAATTCATAATTCTGAATGGAAAAATACATAACACTTCATAAGTTTAAAGATGTTACACCCATTCAAAAAATTAAAATTTATACTGTTTATTTCCCATGTTCGAAAAACTTTTCAGGAACGAATAATTAAAAGGTGTGTCGATGCAATTGTTCTTTTGGACCAAACCTAACATTTTCAACCAGCTCTTATCAGCATTCCTTTTATTGAACTGGAATGCCAATTACACTAGGTATCGGAATTAGACTGATTTTTTTGCGTAACAGAACTTCAAAGAATAATCGCTATTTCCATGGCAAGGATAAAAGAAAAACTCGAAATCAGTGAAACTTAAATTTGCTATAAACAGGTCTAATACCAACGTCTCGGAACTAAGGTGTATTGTAAATGAACTATACAAGAAAAATGTGATTTATGATGGTTGAGGGACGAATTAGCCAGAAATTGTTATTCTTACGGCACGATGGAGAGGCTCGCGGGGTGTCGTGGAACGTTTAGGGACTATTTAGTTGTAGTCCTCGTGTTTGTCCTCTTTTTTTTAAGCTTGTTGTATAATCGTAAAATGTTCTAGGTCATTGATTTTGTACCCTTTCCTCGGGGTCTCGTGCTGCTGTATTAGATGAGGAACACTCTTACATATATTTTTTGGCCACATCTAATGGCTGGTTTTTTTAAAGGTTTTTCTTATCTGGCGTAGCCAGGTTCTAATTGTTAGAAGCACTACAGTTGTGATTTGCAAGGAAACAGATTATGTTATAAGACGGGAATACATCTAAATCAGATGAATGACTGACGCATCCTCAA